AATTCAGAAACTGACTCAGAAAGTGTAAGGGTTACTACTGGGCATCACTCCTGAGCAGGATATCTTAAGTGAAAAGTTCGTTTTTATCTTCACAACAATTTTCAAAATAAAAAGGTTTTCATCCTCACTCATTATGTGAGGAGACTCCAGTACAGGGATATGTTTCAGGCTTGGGTGAGGTCACACAGCAAATAAGTGATATATTTGGATTTTGAACCTAGAATGATTTGACTCTATGAGGTGTATTCTAAAAACAAAATTAGATTTGTTTGTAAATATATTAATGTCATAAAAATAAGATACGTTCTGGGGACACTTAAAATACTAAAATAAGGAGGACAATCTGGGAAAACATACATAAAATCCAAAACTGCAGTTTCTCAAAAGAACTAATGACTATATATGCACAAGAGAAGGTTTTCCAAGTTGAAGAAAGACCCAGATTTGAAGAAAAAAAGAGCTCATTACTAACAGGAAAAAATTAATGAAAAGAAGCCAAAAAATTTTCAGGTAGCATTTTTTAACTTAATTGGTAAAGAACCGTATATCAGATAATAAATCTAAATTGCCTGTACTACCAGCAGCAGCGTTACTTTCGCCAAATAAATATGACTCTCACAAGCAAATTAATGAAAATATTAAGATCTAAACAAAAGTAACCTCAGAAGTGACAAAGGGGAACTACTTTCAAGATCAATAACAAGGCTTACTTTTATCCACTTTACCTATTTTTTCTTTCTGGTACCTGGTTCTTACAACAACTGGTGAAGCCCGGCTTTCCCTCACCAATCTATACACCCTTAACCTCTCTACCTGTCCCAGCTTGGATCTGAAATGCCCCTCAAAGGCTCACGTGTTGAAGCCTTGGTCCCAGCTTCCAGTGGTGCTGGAAGGTGGTGGAAACTTTAGCAAGCAGAGTCTAGTGGAGAAAGCAGCTTTTCTCCATCTCAAGCTTCCACCATGATATTCTGACTCACCACAGGCCTAAAAGTAACTGGGCCAAGCAGCCATGGACCAAATCCTCTGGAACCATGAGCCAAAATAAACCTTTCTCCTATAATTTGATTTCTCTCAGGTATTTGGCATAGCAACAGAAAGATGACTGGTATACCCCCAAACTCAGGTTGCTGGCTCTCTACTTTGTTACTTCCCCCCCTCCCCTTTCTAGTATTCATTTTCTTTACTGTGAAATTCCCTGAGTTTGGCTGTTACCCAAGCTGGCTTTGATGGTTCTCTGTTCACATATCCCCTTGTAATCCAGAGTCTGCAAACTCAGGGTCCTCCTGGCCAAGCCAGAGCTGTCCTCAGTCTTGAAGACTCCCTGCTGCACATGTCCATGCCAGCCCATGTGTTAAAATTGCAGGCAGCACAGAAGCTTAGTGGGGAAGAAAATTACAGAAATTCTAGTCCATACTGGCAGGAATAGAAAATTTGGCAGTCATTAAAAAACAATGACAAAACTGGCAGAAATAAAAGCAATGACATCAACTATAAAAATAAATATGAATGAGTGAAACTCCCCTACTAAAATAGAAAGAACTTCAAATTAATATGCAACTCATTGAAAATAGAGATAGCTAAAACAGTGTGACTTTGAAGGTTAATATATAAATGATGAATATAAAATACTAAGAATAAGAAAAGTGCAAACAAAAATTCAGTATCTTAAGGAGAAATGGCCATAATCACATTAATAGTTGATAATTTTCCACTAATTTTTTTTTTTTGTACTGAGGATTGAACTCGGGTCCTTGCACTTGCGGAACAGGTGGTGGAACCACTGAGCTAAATCCCCGGCCCTTTCTACTAATTTTTAACAGGTTTAGTATATAAAAATAAATGAAATTAATACCAACTGGTCAGTGATTTTACAGTTTTCTTCTGTCTATGTACCACTCATCTGCTTTACATGCCCTATAATACATGGTGCTGACTGTCAAGGAGATAGGGTTCAGAATCATGGAAGAGGCTGATTTAATTTGAAATGCCTCTCTGCACCCAGCTTCTGATTTGATCTTACCTTAAATTTAGAATGAATATCTCAGAGAATGCAGTATATACTACCTGTATGGTATATCTCATATAAATAATAGTCTACCCTGAATGAAGAATATTCATTTTTTTCAATCACTCACAGAAAATTAACCAAAAAAATCCTTTAAAATGTTATATTAATATTATAAAAGTTTGTAAAATATGTGCATAAAATGCAAATCAAAGTAAAAGATAAAATTCAAGAGTCACTTGTATATTCTTTATGTGAAGAGATATTTTGAATCAATGAAAAAATGTGAGTCATACAATAGAAAAGTTAGTAACTAAGCTACTTAGACATGTTGCAAAAGAAGTAAGCCTTGGTGTTGGCTAGGATAAAATAAAATGCATAATTCTGTATTCCGCTTCATTGTGAAAGTAACTGTTTGTGTATTTGGCAGTAATACTGGCAAAAAAAAAAAAAACATACTGCCATTTTTGTTGAAAAAAAATCACTGCAAGTTCAGCACTGTGCTATACACATTACAGACAGCTGCTCGCTCCCGTTCACATTGCGCATTGCACGTCTACCCCTGCGCTGGTGCTATACACATACGCAGAGTCACGCTCTCTTCTTGCAAGTGTAAGGTGTGATCAAAAAATATATTGAACATTTAATGTTTTTAGCTGTTGCAGTAAAAGACACATTGCCATTTGTGCCCCTAAGATAGTCCCTCTCACTTTAAACACATTTATCCCATCATTCGCGCCACTTTCTGAAGAAATTCGAGGTTCTCTTTCACGAGTGTCTTTGGTTGTGCTGTGTTGGCTGCCTCGATGTCCTGAATCCACATAAAACTACTTTTCATGGTCAATTTGACTTTGAGGACGAGCTAGAAGTTGCACGGTGCCAGCTCCAGTGAATAAGGTGGCTCAGGACACACTGTCATGTTTTAATTTGACAGGAATTGCCACAAACATTTTGACTCTATTGTGCAGAATGCTGCCGATGGGTGAAGGAAGATGAGGGTCCTACAACGTTGCTTGGCACATGTGACCATGGCCACAAAGTGAGCAGAAGCCAGATAGAGTGCAGTGGGCACCCAGTGCCTAGGTACCTCCCACGAAAAGGAAGTCTGGAAAGAGGAGAAAGGGACCTGGGGGGGAATGAGATGGACAGATCTCTGTGATTATGTGGGTGCATTTGTTTTTTAACAATTAGGGACAACAGAGAGAATCTGAATGATCCGGGAGGGATCCACCAGGACAGCAACTCTCAGACTGGGGCCTTGGCCGTGGCAGAAGACTTATTACTAACTACGTGGGCTGCTGAGTGCTGGCCTGGTTTCTGCTTCAGCAGGTGGGAAGAGGGTCACCGAGTCTGCATTAATAACAAGTTCTCAGGTGATGCTGCTTATGATGGTCCTGCAGTCACACTTAGGCAGCAGAGAGAGGTCCTAATATATGAAGGATAAGCTACCAGCAACGTCTCTGAGACAACAGGAAGTGCTGGGGTCCAGAGAGTGTGTGAAGGTTTTATTTTTGATACGATAAGGGAAGTGCTGTAAAATCAGGTAGGAAAAAAAAGACAGAGAAGTCTTAAAAAAATAATGAAATTAATATGATACCAAATACAATGCCTACTGTGTGCCAGAAATGGCTTCAAGTGTTTTAGCATATTAACCCATTTAACCTCACCAGACAGAAAATCCTCACCAGACAGAAAAATGCAATTAGTACAGAATTTGAATGATCCCAGGAAAAATGCAGCTAGTACATTTCCATAGTTTGTAATAAGAAAGTAACAAAAATCATGCATAATAGAGTCTGTTTTCATCTAAGGTGTCTAATTTGATACAAAATATAAAAGCAGCAGGTGAGTGGGATGAGCAAGGGAATCTAACATTTGGATAGCTTGGAAAAATAAACAATATTTAAATAGGAGAAGGGGAGAAGGGGTTTATTGTAGAAATATGGCGGGATGGGTATCATTACAGAGGCTTGTTTAAAATTGGGGCTTGAGAATGTCCAGTGATAAACTGCCTGGGATTTTCCAGCCTGCTTAGCGGCCATGTGCAACATGGAAAGGGGTGAGCTGTGGGATTAATGAGGGTGGTATTTTATAGGGACAGAAGGAGCCAGAGCAGGGTGTGGTTTCTTTCGCAAATTGGTTCTATACAGGGACTTAAAGACTGTAGATTCTGGAAAATCTAAAGGAGAGAGTAAAGACTGGAGGGGGATGAGCAATAGAGATGTTGGGAAGAGGAAAGATATTTAAGGCTATTCTAACACCTGTGTATATGGGGACTGAATTTATGAATTTTTTCATTGAGGAAATTTCTTCCATCAAATTTGACCCATTTTACCTTTTTTTGGTCAGGGGCAAATGTGGCTTTCTACTGAAATGTTTACTGTTTCATAAAGCTGAAAAACACTGGCTTACTCCATAGGCATGGATTTCAGGGTGAGAGGGGACGCGATGTGTCGGGCTGTATTTCATTGTAATCGCACTTCATGGCAGGCTGCACTGTGAGAAATTGATTCGCTGGTTTGCCATTCAAACTGCTGGAGCTCTGAGGCTCCTCCACCTTGAGGTAATTAGGACTAATCAGCAATTTTACAATAAATAATGGTGGTGTGAACTTGGGCTAATCCCAGAGAGGAAAGTTTTGCATGGTAAAGTAGGTAAGCTGGTCCTGTAGAAATGTAGGATCCTTAAAAAAGGTCTAGGGAGTGACAAGGACTGAGGTCACCTCTGCCCTAGCCTTTAGGGGAAGGAGAAAATATCAGTGGTCACCTTGGAAGGAAATTCTCCATGAAGGTAATGTACATTGGAGAGTTATCCTTTTCATCCCAGCGAGGAAGCTATGGCTTCCACCACACAAGATGGTGGTGACTGTTTTGAATGAGGAAAAATATATGTTTATTTAACGTACTTTGAAAAAAAGCTTTCAGAAACACTTTTTATTTAAAATCCAATCAAAACAGAAGTTTATAAGACCTACTCCTTTAAGGAATCCCTTTACCTGTGAAGGTAGTGGTATCCACAAACTCAGCGCTGGCAGAGGGCGTTCGGGGTACAGGGGGGCCATTCCCACTGTAGGCTCTCAGCACGTACTTCTCGATGACACCTCTAACCCCCACAGGTTCATCCCAGGTCACCTCGACACTGTAGCCATCGATGCTGCGGACTCTGGATGGAGCTGGCACACTTGGCGGAGCTATGAAAGAATAAAAGAGAAAATAGAGAAAATGGCAGTTCTGAAAAGACTATTGCCCCATTCTTCACTTTTAATGGCTGCAGTAAATCAGACTCAACCATTAGCATAAATACAATTTATTAGAGTTGTAACTTTTCAGCATTGATTTAATATGACTGCACATCTTGAGCCATTCGGTTTAAGCGATATTTCAAAACCATCAAAACTCCATCGACATAACATTCTTCCAAGTCTAGTTCAGGTTTTCCAAAAACATTTAATGTATCCGACATGTTTAAACATCACTCATAAAGCAGGAGGTGGATCGTAGGCAGGTAACAAGTGCAAGCCATATAATGACATCCCCCCGGAAGCCCCGTAATTAGACTGTTATTATACATAGTGTTTGACACTTTGATATCTTCCATATATTAGCCAAATATCTCATACATGCGATTGTATTGGACACGAATGGCAGGCCCCTTTTCCAAATTCAATTACTTTTTGAATTATTTTAAAGAAGCAAAGTTCTGCCAGATCTGATAGACCAAAGACATTTTTTTAAAGTTTATTTATTGGTACATTTTAGGTACACAATACACTTACATTCATCATTGGGATCTTGTACCTTTACATGATGCATCTTGGTTCTTACTTTCTCCCCATTCCCTGCCCTCCCTTCACCCCCTCCACCCTTCCCTATTTACAAAGACTTTGTTTCCATTTTTTCCTTTTCTCACATTTTTTCTTTTCCCTTCTTTCCTTTCCCCTACTTCTCCCATTTCCTCTTCTCCTTTGGACTTTTCCTATTTCACAATATCAATTGTACATTTTGATCCTTATTTACACTTTTAGTTTTTCACACCAGAGAAACTATTCGGTATTTACACATGTGTGTCCTATTTATTTCACTTAAGAGTATGGCCTCAGTTTTCATCCACTTAGCTATAAATGTCTCTAGTTTCTCATTCTTTATGGCTGAGCACTACTCCATTTTATTAACACAAAAAAACACACATCTTCTTTATCCAGTTTCCAGTTGATGGGCAATTGGGCTGTTTCCCAGCTTTAGCTATTACAAACTGTGCTGCTGTAAACTTGGGTGAGCATATATCACTGTGTTATGATTTTTTAAATTCTTTTGGGAAGATACCCAGCAGGGGAATAGCTGGGTCAAATGGAACCTCTAGCCCTAGTTCTTTGAGGTATCTCCATACTGATTTCCACAGTGCTTGCACCAGTCTGCACTCCCACCAACAATGGAGAAGGGTTCCTTTCTCCCCACACTCCCGCCAGCATTTGTTATTGGTTGATTTCTTGATAGTAGCCACTCTTTCTGGGGTGAGATGGAATCTCAGTGTTGTTGTCATCTGCACATCTAGAATGACCAGTGATGTTGAACATTTTTTCATATGTTTATTTGCTGCTTTCACTTCTTTGTCTGAGAAATGTCTGTTCATTTCAGATGCCCATTTTTTAATTGGGTCTTGATATTTGGGGAGTCTGATTTTTTTGAATTCTTTATATAGTCTAGATAGTAGACCTTTGTCTGAGGAATACCTGGTTAAATTTTTTTCCCACATTGTAGGTTGTCTCTTAGCTCTGTTGGTGGTTTCTCTTGCAGTGCAGAAGCTTTTTAATAAGATGAGATCTCAGTTGTTGATTCTTTGTGCTAGTTCCCATGCTACTAAGGATTTATTCATAAAGTCTTTTCCTATGTCAATGTCTCTGAGAGTTTTACCTAACTTATCTTCCAGTAAGTTTAGTGTTTCTGTTTTAATATTTAGATCTTTAATCCATTTGGATTTTAGTTTAGTGCATGGTGATAGATATGGGTCTAGTTTTAATCTCTGGCAAGTTGAAATCTAGTTTTTCCAACACCATTTATTAAACAGGCTATCTTTCCTCCAGTGAGGATGGTTGGCTCCTTTTATGAAGATGAGGTAGCTGAGTAAGTCTGGAGTTGTTTCTGCATCTTCTAATCTATTCCACTGATCCTTGGGTCTGTTTCTTTGCCAGTACCATGCTGTTTTTATCACAGTGGCTTTGTAGTACAGTTTCAAGTTCGGGATTGTAATACTCCCTGCCATGTCTCTGTTGCCTAGAATTGCTTTTGCTATTCTAGGTCTCTTCTAGTTCTAGATGAATTTTTGAATCGTTTTCTCTAGTTCTGTGAAATATGTTGGGATTTCAATTGGGATTACACTTAATCTGTATAGCAGTTTTGGAAGTATGGCCATTTTCACTATATTAGACCAGAGACATTTTTAATTGCATTTGGAGGGCAGCAGGGAAACCTGTGCCCTTGAGATTTTCCAAAGTTATTTTCAGAGCTGTCCTTTTTGGAGTATCTCAAAACAATAACACAAAATGAGAAAGTTTAAAGGAGCTCCAGAACCTCACTTGCAAGTTGAGGCTCCTAATTTCAAAAACCCATAACCTTTAACTATTTATTAGATATTTCTATGGTTCTGATTAGTAACAACTTCATCACAGCTGACTGCACAGGAGACACAAGAAAGAGCCAGAGGAACTCGGTGGCAGGATGATGGATGAGACCTTCACGAGCTGCTCATGGGCTCTGGAGCCCTGTGGATGGAAGATCACCCTGGCTTTCCCACATCAAATATCCTCCTTCTCCGGTCCTGCTGTTCAGACCACTAAAATAGGACAGCTTTCGGGGAAACGAATGGAACAGAAAGGACGAGAGGAGATGCAGAGGGAGGGGGTCCCTGTGTACCTCCAGCAAACAGCGCACACGATTGAGCTGCAGGAGAGGGACAATGGGAGACTCGCAGATTTTATTAGCTCTGAAATGTGGTGCAGGGCAAAGTACAGTGCTATCTAACAGATGGTCTTCTCATAAGGGACAGAGCAAAACTGACTCAAAAATAATTAAATAGTGCAATTATTCTCCAGCCCTTGGGAGCATGTAGCTGCTCGGTGTTGTGGTCAGACTATAAATATGAATTTATGGCATAAGACTGTGTGGTCAGATCGTGACTGTAAATTCGGTGCTGTTTGCATGCTTTCTTGGTGGGTACTAAAGCTATGTAAGCGCCTCACTTTCTAAACACCTATTTAAATTGCTGACATACCTGAAGCAGGCTTTCTGGCATTTTGTTAAGAAAGTAGAGGAATATGAAGTAGGGGCAGAAAATGTGTCAGTAACAAAGGAATAGTACACACAAGAGCTTTCTCCTGGCTCTGCAGGTGAACAGGATTTTAAGAGCTCATTCAGCTCCTGGTCTGGTCTATAAGTAGATGATAATTTAAATCATCCGGGAAAAGTGTCAAGTTTTCCTCTTCTGGAAAACCAGGAGGCAAAGAACCTCACTTTTTAATTATCTTTGAGATTAAGAAGATTCCTCCAAGGATGGCCAGGGTAATAACTCTTTGTTACTTATAAGTATTCTATAGCATCCTTAGACAAATTGTGTCTTGTCTTCCTCCAGACTCACAAGTGCAACTATTTGCAGATGTGCTTGCCTTTCCGACAAACACTTGAGCCCAAGGGGGAAAATGTTGGTCATTTATCTAAAACTCTCCATGATGAGTACCTTCCTGTGATGCTATTACGGGAAGAGATTTTTGTCGCCACTGTCAGAAGTACAAATCACTTCTTGTCAGTTGTCTGAGATCAGAGCTAATGTGTTTGATATCCCAGTTGTTACTCTTTCAAGTCAAAAAGAAAATTAAACTGATTGTCAATTTCTCTCCCAAGGGAGTCGTCTGAAGACCCTAACAGTGAACACCATGGCAAACATCGAAATGATGTGGTAACAATGCCTGCTCCTGACAAGGTCCAGGTCAGGAAAGCTGTCTGAAGACAGGAGGGTGCTGCCCAGCTAGAGAAAACCTGGCCTTCGGGCTCAGCTTCTTCGGCTCTATGCCATCTATAAGGCTTCCCGTTCTTGGACAGATTATGGTAGGCAGTGCTTATTAGATCCTTGTGAATCCAAACAGAAAAGAACCAAGGTGCAGCAAACGGTAAATCCTTAAAAAGTGAAAAGCACCAATCTGTTAAGAGTTGTAGCCACTGATTGTTTCAAACCTAGGCACGCTGTGCCAGAAGATTGAAAAAGGACTCCTACTCCAGGGCGGCTGTCTCGAGTTTCTAGGCAAACACAGGCATGTTAGATAAACAGTATTTACCTGCTGCTGTCGTATGTCCCCGACTCCACTCACTGTATACCGCACCTCCTTCGTGGGAGGCTCTCACTCGATACAGGTATTCTTAAATGGAAATAAGAAGCAGAAGGATTAGCATATTCCTCGGGTAGACAAACGGGCGGTGGACAGGGACAGGGCCCACGGGTACCTGTGAAGGGCTGGAGCCCACTGTCTCGAGCGCTCCGCTGGCGTCCTCGGAACACCGGGATGGAGTCATTTCCCCTGCAGTTAGCAGCGCTGGCAGGTGATAGGCATCCATCCAGATTGACTCTGACAGCGGAGCTGGACACAGATGCCAAGTTAACGACAGCGCCCCTCGAAAATGTAACATCCTTCACGCAGCCGCTGAAACCTAGCAGAGAGGAAGGGGTTGGTGCATTGCAGGGCTGGACTCCTAATTACCCACCTCACCGTCCGGGGCTCTGCACTCTGGGAGGGCCAGGCTAGAGACAATGGCTAAACCTCCAGATCTTGCTTGGGAAATCTCCCCCATGCTCCCGCCTTTCTCTATATGTTAGGCACAAAGAAATTGTAAGTTAGTCACAAAGAAATACTAGTATTTATGGTATTTTAAAAGTCTACGTGTGGATAATTATAACCCAATTTTGGGGAGAGGAAGCATTATTATCTTACCTCTGTAGGCCCACATTGTCTAAATCCTATTTCTTGTTGTGAAATAAAATGAAGGCAATTACGCCTTCCACTAGGGCAGTATTCACGGAGCCCTCAATTCTAGAAAACTGAGTCCTTATATAAGCCAGTCCTCATTATCACCAAAAACTCAGGTGAATTAGTCTGATTATGCAACTTGCTGGGGAAGAGAAAAGACACTTTGAGGGTGCTATGCAGGGTAGCAGGAGAGAGCATATTGTTTCAAAATATATCAGAATCCTCAGACTTTGCCTGAGTTGCATAATAATCATTTCAGAGGTCTGGAATGTAGTTCCAGTTAAATTGGTGTAGAGATGAGATAATGCTGTGTCCTGTGGTTTTCACTGAGCTCCCCTGCTCTGCAGTATACAAGACTGAATATGCACCGGAGTGTACACCTGAGCACACCCCAGCTTTATGCATGACAGCTCTGCACTCAGCTCGGGAAATCTTAACACTGTGAGGTCCCCACGAGTGTGTTCCTCAGAGGTAGGCGACCTTAGGAAAATCATTGTGCAGCACCCTTCTGCGGAGTTGAGCACGGAACGTGGAAGAAATGGATTCAGAGTTCTCATTGCTGCTTTTTGTTAGCAAATTAGCAACCACAACAAAAAGTCAGCCAGGGAAGAGCAGTGCTTTGAATCACATGCCGGAGTGTGTGAAGGGGAACCAACTGGATAAAGTCTGTCAGGACTCTGCCCAGAAATCTGCACAAATCTGGTACCAAGAGGACCGAGCCAGAGACTTCGGCAGCACACAAACTCTCTCTGCACAAAGCGCTGCCAAGGTTGAAAGGCCTCAGAACAGGCCCAGCTCTTTTCAACCTTAACATGGCCATATTGTTCTCTTCAGCATTTATATGATGTCTTCGAACACATTAAGTTGCAGGCTACTTCCTTTTTAAATGCCTTTTGCTATCATTCACATTCCTTTTGGCCCGAGTGATCGATACCAAGAGTCTATTGTAAACACGCTGTAGACACTAAATAATTTGGCTGCATTGAATTGAAAGCAGTAGGGCTCAGTACAAAAGCACTTGCTGGAGAATTCCTAAGAATCCTCAATTTTTACCAGCAGTAATTTTCTGAATACACACAACTGAGTTACCCCACTTCTCTGTACTTCAATACTCCTCGAAACCACATGAGACCACCACTGAAAGGCTTTGGCCAGTGAGCAGCAGCTTTGGCAAGCACATAAGCATCATTTTTAAGAAATTTGGTATTATTGTGCAGCCCCCAAGGCAGGCAGTGATGATAGCTACAAAACAATGTGTGTGTACTTCCTGTCACTGAGCTATACATTTAAGAATGGCGACAAGGGTGAGCTTTCTGTCTTTTGTATTTCACTAAAATTTTTGAAAATTTAAAATTTAACAAAAATGACATGTGAGAAGGAAATAGGGAGTTAGATCTTTTGCAAAAGGGAAGGGGACCCAAAGATAAAGGGAGACGGGACGGAGGAGGCAGGGAAGAGAATGAAAGGAGAATTACAATGTGTTACGTGCAGGCATCAACTTCCCATGACAAAGTAGTCATTATGCACTGCCAACCTGTTCCAATAAAAAATTAGAAAAAGAATTAACTCACAAGATGGGATTTTTAAGCTTGGTGAAGGCAAAAAATGCTGGTGAGACTTCAAGGAAAAAGGAAAACTTCTACATTGCTGGTGAGAATGTAAACTAGCACAATCATCATGAAAATCAGCACAGAGATTTCTCAAAAAACTAAAACTAGAAATTCCACTCAACTCAAGTACACCTGTTCAAGGCATCTTCCCCAAAGCACTAACGACATCATATTACAGTGATCCATGCAGGCCCAGGTTTACAGCAGCACAACTCATAACAGCTCAATCTTGGAAGTAGTCTGTGTGTCCATCAACACATGAGTGATAAAGAAAATGTGGTATCTACACACAATGGAGCACTGCTGTGCCGCAAAGAAAGATAAACTTGAGTCATCTGTAGGAAAATGAATGCACCTTGAGACCATAGTGTAAAGCGACGAAATAAATCAGACGTGCAACTTAAATATTGAAATCTAAATATAAATAAAGAGTGAAATAAGAGATAGATACTAGGAAGTAGGGGAATGGATCTTCCTCAAGGGGATTTTATTCATCCTCCTAAGACCGTAGCCCTCTGGCCCAGGCCTCGGTGTGTCGGGGGCAGGCTGAGTGAGACTGCAGGGCTTTGGCTGTGTGTCCTTCCAGTGGGGGCCAGAGAGGCAGGTCTCAGCTCTGCATCACCCAAAGCGCTCCCCACCTGACTTCACAATTTGAATGAAATATGAGAAGAACAGGGGAAAGACAGAAAGCACACGTTTGCCAGAGGAGTGGCGACTCCTTGTCTTGCTCCCTGCCCTTGTGAATGTCAGGAAAGACTCTACCTTTCTTATTCCTCTAAACAGCCTCCAGCCCCTGCCCCAGCCTCTGAATAACTAAAAGGTTGTCCAGGGCTCCAGCTGACATGGGAAAACAGTAGCCGGTTCTCTAGGAACAGGATCCTGCACCAGCAGCTGCTGGACTCCAGCCCTGGCCTCCCTCTCCTTTGGGAGCTCTGTGCAGAACGTGTGACAGCATGCGCCACATCCAATGTGGATGCAAGGGACAACGTCGATGCAACTGCCACGATCTGAGGTGTTACATCTCTTGCAAATTATGTTTCCTTTTCCAAAATGAAGGAGAAATTAATTTCACATTTGATTCAAATGAAGATTGCAAGATTAATGATAAGAAAAACAGCACTAATATGACCAGAAAATAGAGCCTATGACAAAAAATGTAATTTGAAAGGACACAAAAGGAAGAAGGAAGACTTTTAAGACTATTGATGGTGGAGTGAAAGGAATACATTAAGTGAGCGTGATTCATTTCAAATGCAATGCCATACTTGTATATAGTGAGTAGTCTCCCTGACCACCATGTAAAATGCCAGTTCTTTGTACAGATCATTGTCTCTCAAAACATAAAGTCAGAATCTCAAGGAATGGAGGGCACAAAAATCTGCATTTTTAGTAGCTCTTCTGTCTGATCCTTGTGTACTTGACTAGTAACAATAATAGCTAATTTTGATTTCTTACCTTGAGCTACTATGCATCAAGATTTCATCAGCAGTTTGAGAACCACTGATAGGAATGGTGCTGTGATGATAAAAATTTAGTATTACCCATAAATAAAATATCCTTCAGTATCAGAGGTTTAGTCCCAGTATGGGTGAAATTATTCCCCCGGGTCTCTGTTGATGTTTTAAACTTCTATCTTTATCATCTTAAATTTCATTTTAGCCATGTCTCCAGGACTATCAATAGTTATGGGCTTTGGTGTAGTTCAGGAGCATAAGGCTGTGGAGGAAGGTTCAATTTTCCTTAGTTACAAACAGGATCAAATAATTTCACTCATACAAAGAGCTTTCCGGTCCTTTCTAACCTCAAAAGCCTGAAAATCTGGAGAAGCTCTTATATGAATGCAATATTTCCAGCTGCTGTTACATATTAAGTGCCTTGAGAATGTCATTACTGTCTCACACCCCAGTTATTCATTAACTCCCCACTACTACCCTTCTAAAAGTCTCCTTAGAGCTTGTCATATATTTTCCATTCAGAGGCATTTAAATCTTTATGTACTTACCAAATAGGCACAGACTGCTTCCTGGAAATTTTAACCATTCAGGGTACCTGGATTTTAATATTTACAGAGAGCACTTTGTACATGGGACATGCTTGGTCACATGCTGGGAGTTACTGAGCTGCCCTGGCCAGTGGGCACATAGGGAATGCTGGACAGCAACAAGGATGCTGGCCTGAGCCACCAGGCTGCCCAGGACATGCTCCCTCTGGCCATCTGCTCACCAGTCATGTGACCCCTGCTCACCAGTCATGTGACCTCTGCTCACCATGTGACCTCAATCAAGTTCCTTTCCCCTCTGCTTTTCAGTTTCATCAACTGTAAGACAGGGATATGAATCATCATGCTTAACTCACACTTCTCATGAGAAACCTACTCACTTCTGCACATGTGCACAGCACTTGGCTAGTATTAGCCTTTTTAACTACATGACTTCTCTAGCTACCCTCAAACGTCTGTGAGTTCAGTGCTTGCTTTGATTATGAGAGGTGCACTTTTCCTTTCCCTGACGGTTATTAATAATCAGCAACCTACACATTTTTCACCACTAGTGATTGGAATTCAACCAAAGCTTTTCATGTGCTTTTGTTGCATGAAAGTTGTATTGGAAAAAATTTGTTTGCCATTTTTCCCAGTGTTGCACACCAACATTTTTGACCAATATCAAAAAGATCCATAACCAGGTATATTTTCAAGGAAAACATAAAAGGGAATATGTTTACCTGTATTATGTATAATATACAATTTATACATATAGTGTGCATGTCACTTATATAATTATCTACATGTTATATGCATGCATTAAATGCATACCACATACTGTACTGTGCATGACATATTATAGAAACGCTAATATATAATATATACTATACAGCATATGTATACAATTATATATAAAAAGACATATTTTCTGCAGATACAATATAGTAAACATGCTGATTATAACTAAATTACCAGTGTACTCTTGAGGGTAACATAGGGCAACTCTTTGAAGAAGTGGTCTGTGATTGTTTTTAGGACTTAAAATTCTCCAATCAAAGGGAGAGGATGTTGGCGGGTAATTTTACCAGCCTGAGACTACTGTCATATCTTAAACTAGAGAATCACCTAACCCAATAGGACTGGGCTGTATTGACCTTTGCATTCCCCTGGAGGAGACCTACCTTGTTCCAGACTCAAGTGTCCATAAGCATCCCACAGTTCCTGTGGGATCCCCCCAATGTGGACGGGCGAATTCACCACCAGGGGCCGCGCTTCAGGGACTGAGTAGCGCTCCATCAGTGCATTCAGGCCTGCTGTTAGGAGCGTGCCTTCCTTTTTCATAACGACTTTGTTCCATTTTCCATTACAGTAGGACAGACCCAGCCAGAGATCCACTTGCGTAAAGGTAAGACTGGCATTTAACCGGAAGCTCAATACTCCACTCCTCAGCTCCACCTGTATTTCATGTTGAAAAGGAAATAGGTGTATAAAAAGGTTGCAGAATTGCAGTTTGAGAGAGAGCAGAAGGTCAATTTCTTGAAGAAAAGCAAGAAATTTCCCTGAAAGCACTCTATAAAAATGCTCCACTTTATCCTAAACAGAACTCGAGTAAGAGATAATGAAATGCTTTGCAAGCCTACAATTGACATGAAGAATGTTGTATTGAGTCAAACAAATTCATACCCAGGAATGATTATGCTACGTGATGTGGTATTAGATAGTCCTAAGCTTTAAAAAAAAAAACATAGTTAAAAGATTAAATCCTAGTGTAAGTGACTGAATGACTGAAGGGAACAGAACAGTTTGAACTATGACTCCATCTCTGAGTTTTTAGAAAATGAGAAAAAACTACTTCATATCTCAATTTCATTTAGGGGAAAATATGACAAGACAATAAGAAAATGAAATGTCAAGCTCGATGAAGCTTATTTTAATTGGTTAGTGAACTCAATTTCAAATTTGTAAGATATATTTTGATTCAATATTTCAGCTTTGTTCTAAATCTCTAACATAATTGCTCTGATGTGTATTCTTTTAGATTAATGTGCCACTTTCTAATGTGAACACATTTGATCCAAATTTTCATAGAAAAGGAAATATATTCATATGTGTTCTTTCAAAATGTTACATGATAATTATTTTACCTATCACATTTTTGTTTAATTAGAAGTGAAATCAGCCATCACAGGATAGTTGAAAGTTTGGGAACAATTTTTTCAAGTTAAACAAAATCATACCAGACAAAATTATGTTCTTCACGTAAGTATCATCTTTATGAAGTACACCAGGTAAGCTGACATTCACTTAGACTTTTCATTCAATAAATGTTGAGTCTACAACTATGTTCAAATATCTACTGCTGTGAATCAAATAAGAAGCACCCTCATCAGAGAGGTGAACATGGGCATGAGGGAAAACTATGACCAAGAGGCGGACAGGGCTGCATGGAGGCAGAGGACAGATGTCGTTTGTTCCCTCAGCACTGGGAAAAGTGTAAAGTATTTAGAAGTATCAAAGTCATGGAGGGCCCTTCCAGGAGGGGAATTAACATGCACAGCAGCAGGGGGACAGCAGCTTTAAAGAAAGGTAGCAAAACAGAGCGCACGTATAAGGGTGCGAGTGAGTGAGAAAGTCTTGCCAAGTATGCAGAGACTGGATAGTGGAGGATTTTGAGCGATGGGGAAAAGTCAGTCTTTTTCCTGTCTGACACCAATGTCCCCATGCTTCCACTGTGCCCTTGTCCCAGAAGTTCACCCTCCCAGGACATAAGAAACACATATTAGAAATTAGGAAGTCAGTAAAATCATGAGAAAAAAACCGGAGAGCCACTAGAATAAGGATAATACTAATGGTGACAGGGAAGCTCAAGATAAGTACATTGAGAAGCAGCTCCACAGGACCCGTACATAAATGTATCAGGTGAATGCAGAAGCTAAGGACACCCATGACCTTTAGGGGAGAGCTAGTGGGGTGTTTTTTTTCTTCAACACCGTATGAAAAGCCTTTGGGGATGGCAGCTGCTTGGGATGGGAGGAAGGGCACATTCGTTGTAGATACACGGAGTTTGAAATGTGGATGACACACCCAGAAGATACCTTTCTGGAAGAAAATTGAACATAAAGATATGTGATTAGTAATGAGCCAGTAAAATGGAGAACACTCATGATGAAATAAATAACATCACCCAGTTTATGTTAAAATAGGGAAAAGATGGGCAAAGGATGTAGCTCAGCGGGGCAGCATCTGCCTGGCAAGCGCAAGGTCCTGAGTTTGATTCCTAGCACCAAAAAAGTAAGATAAAGTCAGTCTGCAGTGGCACAGGGTGAGGCAGGAGCCCTTTGTGCAGCGGTTTCAAGGACTGACTTTGGTGTGGAAAGTGGAAAAAATAAGAGTAACTAGTTTCCAGGCATCTGACTGTAAAGGGAAGGAAAATACAGCAGAGGAGGTTGCACAGTTTTTTCAAAAAAGTTAAGACAAATGAAGATCAACCATTTGACATGGCAAGGGGAAAGAGCTCATGGAGGGGGAAGGCTTGAATTTACAAAGAAAGGGTGACTTGTCTAACAAGCTTCTGCAGAAGAAGCAACAGAATCTCCAGGAAAGCCACATGGGAACTTTGGTTTTAATTGTGGCAATTGTATATTTTTCCCCTGAGTAAGAAGAGAATGAAACCAAGCTTGGCTCAAATATGGTACAGGTCATAGGGAAGGAGTTTAAAAGTCAGGGAGTTAAATGTCTGAGAAGACCCCAAATCCTGAAGTACTTTCTCTTTCAGCCCCATACCTGATATGTTAGCAAATGCTGTGAACAATGAATATAATGGAATGAACGAATTGGAATGTGCAAACCTCAGAGTGTCAGTAATGCTTAGATGGGTTCTATGATGCTACAGTATTCAGCAATCTGGCTACTGAAACTGCAAAGCAAGGTGACTGTGCTGATGGACACAGAGTGGAGGAGTTGAAGATACGAGCTCAGGACACTGGTGTTAGGCTAAGTAAGGAGCAAACGACTTACATAGAGGGTAGAGTCCTAGCCGGTGGTCTCAAAGTCTTTGTGAAAATGAATGAGAATGAGAGAGGAGGAAAGTTATATTTTGAGATTTAAGATTTTAGCAGGGGAAACATTCTGTCTAGTTCCAGGGGAGAGAGGTGTATACTGGAGTTATTCAGGACCTCAGGGAGAGTTCTGAGTATCTGTAAGCAGCCCAAGTCTACAGATTTGGGAGACTAGAAGGTAAGTTGTGCAAAGGTCTGCTTCCTTTACACTTGTACAGGCAGTGCTAAAAGAAAGAACAGCACTCAATATATATTAGCCTAAACGCATTGATTCTTTAAAATTCACCTTCAAGGCCAACTTAGAGTCGACGTATTATTTAACACAGTGGGGATGTATTATATGTTCAAAAGCAATGCAGGAGGAAGATGGAGGCTGCAGCAGCCTGTGTGAGCCTCCAGCAGAGGGGCTGAGGAATGGATATCTCAGGCTCCTCCACAGCTATCCACGTAGAGACAACTACACAATGCTTGGCAAAGGTCACCAAAGGATGAATCCTTGGCATGCTCCCCATCTCATTTATTCATCCAACACTTTTTATTGTGCACATGCACTTGCAATGCTTAGGCAACGAGGACAGAGTGCAAAGACACCCAAGGTCCCTTTACTCAGAGAGAGACACGCCAGGGCAGAGGCTGACAATAAACAGGAGAACAAACACATACTTCAACCAGGAGTCTTACTAAATGCCTGAAGGGTTAAGTTTCCATTTCCCTCCTCAGTAAAACTGACAGTATATAAACAAGGATGCAAAAAGGCCTGAACTGAAAATATCTTAGATTCTAAATATCTAAAATCACCAAGACACATATTTCATTTCCTGTTTGCCTAGATAGCAAGAATCTGTGGGTCAGAGGCCTAACATTTTCTCCTGAGTCTGGATCAGAGTTTCAAAGAACTTTTATAAAACTAGATTTTTAATTGTTTTTGACAGAAGGATCTCACTGAACAACTAGATGAAAGGAAAAGCAGTTACATCACCCACTGCGTTTAGGGAAACATCCAAAAATGTCCGTGACACTCATTCACCATAGCAAACATGGAACAACCAAGCCGTCACCGAGGAGAGAAGAAGAAGAAGGGTATGACAGAGCCAGAGGACACAGGACAACACGGAAACACGAGTGACTCCCAAATGGTGTTGAGTGCCAATGGAAATTGTTCAAAGGTGGAGGACAGTACCAGCTTTGTTTTGTTCTCATCTACTTCAAGACAGGGCAAGCTGCTAAATTGCCTGGGCTGGGCTTAAACTTGCAATCTTACCTCAGCCTCCCAGAGTGCTAGGATTACTGGTCTGTGCCACATTCCTGGCATAATAGCCCTTTTATAAGTTTCAGAGACAAGTACTTCCATATTTGTATGTGATGTTCTAACTACAAAGTGCAAAGTAATAATAATCACAAAATTTTGATTACATATTACCTCTGGTAGGAGACAGAGAAACAGAATAGGAGAAACCTTATATCTAATAATACATAATAATAATTTAGTTCTTGGGTCAAATGATGTGCTTATGAATTTTCATTCTATCATTATACTTTATTGTAGAGTAGAAAACATATATCACATATATTTTTAAAACTATATCAAAATTAATGAAGGAAATTATATTTTCCACATATTGGGAAAGTAAATTGTATTTTTTAAATTCCTTATATCTAGAATATTCTGTTAAAGTTGCAATTTTCACAGAATGATTAACTTAACCCTAAAGAATAAAACATTTTACAGGACTGTAAAACTAAAGTATGTTTGGGGAAAAATTTAAAAAGTGAATTAATAAAAAAGCCACAATTTAGTATAATATTGTTTCAAAATTGAGTCTGACATTTAAAAGTAAATTTAATTAAATTAATTAACATACAGCAAGAAAATCGGGTCCATCTTTGTTGTAAATGAAAAGCAGCAATCCATTTACTTGGTCAGTTCTGAACTTAAGAGAAATCTCAAAATCCATTCCACCATGAAACACATCTGAATGGAGTTCCAGGAACCCTTTAAGAACAAGAACATGTACAGATTAGCTGCATAAAGCAATCCAGAGTTGTGTGTTGTAAGACTCCAGGATATATGCTTTCACTACGTAAATGCCTCACAAAAAAAACCAAAAACAGGCTAATCAATGTTAGGAAATCCCCCATGTACTTATACCAATGGGGCAGGATGAACTTGATATGCCTTTTAAAGGAATGCGATTTGCTTCCTAGATCATATAAAAGTCTGTATTATGTAAAATTATTACTTATTTCATGTAAGCATTAGCAATAGTCACACTAAGAAAAACTCAGTATGATGGCACTGATGAGAAAAAAAACAATGAAAAAGTACACAGATCATAATGTTACTAGTATCAGCTGCTTCTCTGTTCTAAAGGCAGATTAAGCTACTTAATAAACAACCAACTTCACTATGAGACATTTGTAACACTAATATATGTAAACCAAGAACTATATGGGCCACAAAAAAATGTTACATGCAAATATATACTTATGAATCTTACAATTTTATTACCTTTTCAGGTTTTAAAATATATTTATGTGCTCATGGCATAGCTATGCACTTCTATAGGAATAGATTCATATGAGGTCAAACAAGATAAGAGGGAACAAGTTATCCCAATAGTAGGACAAAATGTGCTCCAAAGGCCCATGTGTTAAAGTCTTTTTCCACAAAGGGGCGCTATTGTGAGGTAGTGGAACCTTTAATAGGTGGGGCTTAGTGGGAGATATTTAAGTTTTTGGCTTCAGAGATTGTGATACCCTGGCTTCTCTGCATTCTCTTGCTGCCTGGCAATGATATGAATAGTTTTGATCTACTGTTAATTCTCACCATAATATGCTGCCTCAAAAATAGGCCCACAGCCACAGTCCTAAATGGTCATGGATTGGAAGCACTAAAACTGTCAGCCAAAATAAACCTTTTTTCTTTATAAATTGATTATCTCAGGTATTTTGATACAGTGATGGACCACTGACTAACACCCAGATAAAATACCACAAAAGTCTACTGTAGACATTACCTGTTCCTAGAAACTGGGCACCCTCACTCAATGAAGAAGGGCATCCCTCCCAGCTATTGTAGACATTGATTTGCTCTTCAGAGCTCTGCCAATCCAGAGGTTCCCAAACAGCAGAGGGATTGTAATTCTTCATAAAATGAACATCTTTGAGACAGCCCACGAAACCTTTCTGGGTGATCTCTGTAAAAGTTGACAAGCATCAACACAGACACATGATGTATTTGGAGAAATTCTTTTCAAGCAATTAATTTTATGTCCCATTAAAAACAAAGACATAGTCAATAGCTCTCTCCACCTATTTACTACAAGCCTCTAATAATTCACATAAACACTACTCTATCCCTGATAGTACATGGTAGTAATTATGTGTTGAGCTGTGGTTTAGTTGTAGTCTAGGACATAGATGTTTATGCAAAAATAACGGCTTTATAGTGCTAACCAATTACTACCCTTTGCACTAACACAGAAGTCTCATTTATGAGCCTCAAAGACAGAGCTATAACAACTTTTAAAAGTAAGACTGAAGAAAATCTTTCCACTACAGCTGTACTTCATAGTACAGTTCATTAAAATGGACCAATCCAATATCTGGGTGACCTGATGATTTGATTTCACATTAAGGATTTTGTGTGTTGTTGATTTTAAGTGTGGAACTCTCCAGATGAGGGAGATGCAGGGCACTGTATATGAATATAGCAAATCTTAGGTAACAGTGCTGGGAGAAAATAAGAGAATCAGAAAGAATGCAAGAAAAATATTGACGGGCGCACATTTTGTACAGCTATGTCCTTCCCTGTGGGGGTAAAGCATGAGCCATCTTTGAGTTTATGGCTTGATTCCAGGGCACATGTGTTCACCAGAGGAGAGCCAAAGGCCAGTTTGTCCATGTGTGTCAATTTATTCATTTATAATGGAGACATTCGTGTCTCTATAGGAGAAGGAAGTACTTGGTATCAGAATAGTCTATCCTTCTCATACCTGGTGCTGCCACTGTCCTAATGGGCAAAGAAGTAGAACAAAAGTTGTGTGTGTGTGTGTGTGTGTGTGTGTGTGTCTGTGTGTCTGTGTGTGTTAGAGGTATTTCTAGATCACCCTGAATTAGTCAAATGAATGAAAACTCTCTCCTCTGGAAACACTTCTGAGGAGGTAACTGTTACTGATTTTGAAAATTCAAAATGCCTCTTTCAACTTTACTAAAAAAATTTTGTTTGTTTGGATCTTTTTCACCAGGATTCCATGAATACCACCACTCATGGGCAGACTATACTCATCTGAGCCCTAGCTGCTTTGTCAATCTGTGTAGCTAAATTGTAATTTTCTGGGAGAAATTTAGGAATGAGAATTTGGGAAAAACCCTAAAATCCTTACCAATGCATTTGAAGGATAGTTATTTTCTGCCTAAGCTCATTTCATTCATGTTAATTTTTATTAGTTGTAAAGTGCGCTTCTGTTCTCTTCTAAAAATGTGCAATTATTTGCATAACTCAATTATAGCACTTCCAGCATGTTCCTGGGATTGTTGTTTATATATCTATTCTCTCCATTGTGGCAAAGACCTCATCTTAATCATCTATAAATATCTAGGCATTGGTTTGGTGACAGTCACATAGTACTCAGGGAATGGTCCTCACCCTATTTTGACTGAAAGTTAGGCTTGCTTTTTTTTTCTATTTCTAGATTATTTACATTGAATTTAAAACCCTAAAAAAAAATCTACGTGTAAGTCTTAAAATAATATACCTATGGCTGATATTAGTACGATACACTTCAGCAAATATTTGCTAAACTTCTCTTTTATACCAAGAGCCAGGAAGTAACAAGATAAATACAAATACTACATGATTCCTTTAATTCAGAAGAGCCCTAACGGAGAATTCTGACACATGGCCATAGAAAACACAGCATGAGAAAGAAAATAACACATATTCATACTTTAATGGAAGTTGACTCTAAGCTTTGGGGACGATTTGTCGCTCTGCAGTAGCTCACTCACCGGGGTCCCTCCTGAGGACGGTGTAACCCAGGGGCAGGCCTCCCACATACAGCCCTGCATTGTCTCCGATGACAGCACTGCCGTTCAGGGTGGCCGCAGAGCCTGTGGAAGAGGAGATGGTGTCCAGCTTCAGCAGGACAATCAACAGCTGCTACTTTAGCAGAGGGCAAAGCTCTCTGAGCTCTTCAGCACCACTCCATCCTGCTGCTCGGACTTCTGTACTTCAGGGGCCCTTATGTCCCCACACACGATGGGCGGGACAAGCCTGCTCCTGCCCAGTGTCCTCCCACTCCCACTGGATGAGCAGTGAGCTGGGCACTAGGGCAGGTTACCAGGATCCAAGGGGATCGTCTTGGTGATCTTCCGTCATGATGCAAATTCCCCTGTAAGACTTCTACCTGGGCCAGGGATGTAGCTCAGCGGCACCACGCCTGCCTCACAAGTGCATGGTCCTGAGTTCCATCCCCAGTAAAAAAAAAAACAAAAAAAAAAACTTCTATCAACTCTCACCTTCTCTAGGAGGAAAGATAAATGTCACTGTTTTTATTTTTCCGAGCCCTACACATTAGCCCTACTTACATCCAGTCCCTTCTTTGCTGGCAACTCTCAATTTTCAGTCTGGACACCATCCCTGAACCTAGACTTGCTGGTAGACTCTGTCCTCAGCCTGCCCACTTGCAAATCCCATAGACATCTAGGACTTAACTGGCCCATAGCTCATCTCTGAATGTCTCTCTCCAACTCTTCTCCCAGCATCTTGCAAACCCTAGCTCTGACAGCTACATTCCTCTGCCTACAGAGGCCCCAAACCTGGAAATATTCACAGGTGGGGTCATCGGGGCCCAGGTCACAGCTCTGTGGGCTGTCAGCTTCCAGCTGCCAAGAAAACTCTAGTTACAAAAACAGACACGAATAGGGTCAGGCTCACTGGTGAGTTTGCAGACCCCTGCTCTCCTGCAGTCACATCATCGAAGCCTATTAATTTGGTTCCGACAACACATCCGGAACCTGACCACTTCTCCTGTGTCCACGATTGTCCCCCAAGTTCCAGTCACTGTTCATCCTTCTCTGTGTCATGACAGAGTTGTTACGGAAGTCCTCCAACTCGTACCCACACTGCCACCTTCATGCTCTTAAAATTGATTCTCAGCAGAGCAGACAGAGCGGTTCTGCTAGGCAAGGATCTTGTCACTCCTCTCTCTCCTACTGCTCCAGTGACTTTCCTCCTTCAGAATAAAGTGATCTGGCCTCACGGGGCCCCTGTGCCCTGCTGTCCTATCAGCCCTTCGCACCCCTTTCCCAGGGGTCTATTTCTTGGTACGTGGCAGGTCACCCAAGGAAGGCTCCTTCATCTCCTCTGGTCTCTGCTCAGACATCATCTTAGCAGGGAGGACTGACCTGGAAGCCCTGTAGAAAACGGAACACTCTAGGGCCAGGGATTTAGCTCAGTGGTAGCAGTTGTGGTGCCTGTCTGGTGCAAGCTCAAGGTCCCGAGTTCGATCCCCGGTACCAAAAAAAAAAAAAAAAGAAAAGAAAAGAAAACGGAATGCTCTTCTCGGCTGGGACACAGGCGCATCCACACCCAAACCCACCTTTCTCCCCTACCCTGCCTTCCACTCCCAGATTTACTACTCCTTCACACTTGTGCAAGCTTTATTTCTTCTGTTTTCTGCCACACATACCTCTCCACCATGTCAACTCTGCAAATGTTATGGTTTCTGACTAGCTGCACACACTCAGGGGTGGGGCTTAGTCACTGATTTGCTGCCTTGAGAGGTGGAGTCTGGCTGGAAGAGGCAGGTCACCAGGGGCAGGGGCAGGGCTCGGAGAATTTATCTCCCTCCTCCACCCTCCCTCAATCTTCCTCTCTGCTTCCTGGTCCGGACAGGAGCAGATTTTCTCCACATCTGGCCCTTCCACCATGCTGCCTGCCACACAAAGACTGAAACCCTATAAACTGTGAGCCAAATAAACCCTTGCTTCTTTAAGTTGTGGATGTTGGAAATTGTATCTCAGTGACTGAAGAGGAAAGTGACTAAGACAACAAAGTTCTATTTATTTTTTGTATCCAGAGTGCATAGAATAATACCTGGAACATAGGTGTTCATAAAAATTATATCTAGTCTATATGAATTAATAAAAGCTCTCATCATACAGGTTCAGTGATTTTTGCCATTATATGAGGATGGCAGATGCAGTAGGCTAGAAATAAACTAAACTTAATATCCAAAGACAGGACTTATGTGTGTAGAATGCTGCCTAGATGTGTACACTGGGGAGCACTGTTTACCCTTCTGAGCCTTGATTTCCCCATTGCTAAATGTAGATAACTGCTTTCCTCTACTTTATTTGCTTTCTGGAGGTCAAAAGCAGCATGAGAAAACCTGATCAAAAGCCCTTGCACCTGCAGAGAATCCATAGAACAGAGTGGTGGCCAGCGAGTTAGTCCCTATTTTGCTTTATGGAAGCCTGTGTGGGTGAGAGCCTGAGTGAGAGACACCGTCATTCAGGAGCAGCTGAAGTTCAATGACAATGCAGGTGAAACTGAGCAGAGATCCCGGTGACAGGGAGAGATGCAGAAGTCTGAGTGCACAATCACATGGCAACATCAGCTTAGCAATGGAGCTGTGCACGGACCTAAGGACCACTTACCTGTGTACCGACCATCCAGGGTGATCTGGCCAAAAGCCTGGTGTCTAACAGCAATCATCTCATGCCACTGGTCATCGCTGTATTGCTTCCCATGATCATTAGTTGTGGTGACTTCCACTGGGGACCCCTTAAGAGAAAGAATAGATGAATGAATGAATGAATGCTCAGAGAATGAATGAATGCTTAGAACAAATGGACACACAGACAGTGATGCTGTGCCAGAGACCCATTTACACATCGCAACTTGATGATCCTGATGCAATCAGCCACAGCCTTCAAACCGAATTGAAAACAAAGGCTGATGTTTCACACGGTTTTGTCTTCCCTGTGATGGAAGGTTCTGGGCATCCAGGGCTGAACCTGGAAGGAACAGTTCTTTAGGGTAAGAATCTCTCACAAAGGCACTTGCATTTTGAGCATCTGTGTTTATGCGGAAAGTAATGAGCTTTGGATTCTAAAACTTGCGGTTTTCATTTTCATGGCAGAACTATATAAAAGAAGGGAAGAATTTAAAAGTAATAGAACACAGTGGACCTTTGATGTACGAACTCAATTGGTTCCTGAGGGCTGGTTGTAATTCAAGTTGGTCGTAAGTCAGTACAGCTGGGATCTGGATGTTTACCCGGGCACACGCTATAGATAACAAGACAGATGACTCTTCCATTAACCTAACTAACCCAAGTTGTTTGTATGTCAGGTCGGTCGTAACTTGAGGGTCCACTGTATCCCTGAGCATTCATTCCAAAGATTGAGAAATGTCAGGCAAATTAGTTTCTCTTACCTTCACTAAACTACTACTAAGAAGGAATGTGGTTAACATTAAATATCAATGAGTAGTTAACCAGGTATGGCGGTGCATGCCTGCAATTCCAGTACTGAAGGAAGGTGAGGCAGGAGGATTGCAGGTTTGAGTCCCTCCTGGACAACTTAGCGAAACCCTGTCTCAAAATAAAAAAGAAAGCAAGGGCTAGAGATGTAGGTCAGTATGAAGGTCCTAGGTTCAATCCCCCGTACCGCCAAAAAAAAAAAAAAAAGTTGTTAATACCTGATCTTGAGTGTGGGATAAACTTACCACATAATGATTTGCAGTATAAAGCTAATCTGCAAAGTCTGGCTATTATAATGGTGTAACAGTTAAAACTGTGTTCCTAAGTGGTTAGGACCTAGGAAATGCAAGATGTCAAGAAGAAAGATTAGCAAAATGTGGTGAAGGGAAGGAAAGAAAAGAAAGAGAACTAGAAGGAAAACTGTAATCTTAGTGCTATAGAGCTAAGTGAATACTTTCTCAGAATGTTATAATTAACACAAGGGTAATCTTTTCAGTCTTAATAAGCAAACAAGACCGAATTAAGTAAATTTTAACTTCATCATCAACTTCATTTACTACTATTAAAGAAAAACAAGACTATAAAACTAAATGAAAATCAGTTTCTTTCCTACTGAATAAAGTTGGTTTACTTAAGAAAATAAACCTCATTCCAATAAATCTTTTAAACTAAAAATTAGGTTGGAGAAAATACTGTAATTGTTTTAATTATCTGAAATGTTGCACCAAACTCTAATAATTTTGCTATACTGTTTTTTACAAGGGAAATGGATAATCTTCTGATGCAACAGAGCTGAAGATTGATGTAAAAACTACAATGTTAACATGGCAGCTTAAGTGAAACATTGTTTATTGTTCCCTAAAATAGCTACAATGATATAACACGTCCATTCTACACATTTAATTGGCTCATGTCGGACCTCACGACATGCCTGACAACATGTGTGACGCACAGAATTTCATGAGACCAAAGTAAAAAAAGAAAAACCAGCTTATTTCCCAAGAGTATGACAGGATTGCTTCTCATGTGAACAATATCCCGACCTTCACAGACAACTCAATGAGCTAGAAACATGACCATTTGGACCATTTCTAGTCCTTGCGTTTTCTGTAGGTTGACTTTCTACATATCTGTTTTCTACTGCACACCCTTTAATTTCTTCAACACTATTTCAACACTTTAATATTTTACAAATACACATTCCGTTATCGTGGTTTAATAATTAAAAGCAGAGCTGGTGTCGTGCCCAATTAATGTGCCCTGGTAGCTTGCCCATTAGTTTTCCATTAGTGAATTCAACAATACTAATGGGATTACTAGCATGGGATGCTAATTGGGCGTGACATAAGAAACTGGCTTACTTCTTAGCATACCCTTGCTAATGATGAAATTAATGAGCATTTTATTAAATGCTGTCTCATCAAAGTGTACTTAGCGTTAAAATTGTTACAAACGATGCCGCATTCCAAAGATCAGGTGTCTAAGTGGCTCTTCATATTTTGTTTGGCAACAATCTGAAGCATTAATGGTTCTCTACATCAGAAATCACATTTAATGGAGACAAGAAAGTACACAACCTACAGTCATAGTATGCTAAACTCACTTTTATACTTAGAGGAAACTAAAATAGTATTTTTTTGAGGATAGTTTTAAGATTCTCCCTCTCACCCCACTCACCCTCAAAGTAAAAAGAATGAGCTCTGGTGCTGTATTATGTGATTTATTATTCTTTCCATTTGGAAAATATCAGACACATTAAATAGATACTCTGCAGAATTATTTGAAAGCTTTCACTTTCATCGCTTCCAACTGTAAACAGAACGGTATACAGATTTTCTGCTAATGTCACTGAACACAGAACACTTAAGACATAAGCATGGATTGTTATTGATCCATAAAATATCTGATCAAGTATACTTAAAATTGAAATCAAACAAGGAAAGTGTGAGAAGATGATAGCTAATTGTTGAGACTTAACAAATAACTATAGCACTTAATGTTACAATTAACTTTTCTTTCTTTGGTGTCTTAATAATGGTTCCAAGTCTTCCATGAGTAACATACAAATATATTTCCAATTTTAAACATTATGAAGAATTTTATCCCCTTCTTCTAAACTTTTGTTCAATATAATACATCGGAGAGTTGATAATTAAACCAAATCAGTTTTTTTTTCTTTTTGTACCAGGGATCAAACTCAGGACCTTACACTTTTGAGGCAGGTGGCGGAACCACTGAGCTAAATCCCTGGCTCCCAAATCAGTTTTTATACCCATAGCCTCTAGGTTAGGCTTATAGTTACATAAAGAATTTATCATTCAAGTTTTATTAAGAGTTTTTAGGGCCAGGAATGTAGCTCAGTGGTTTCACCGCCTGCTGCTCAAGTGGAAAGACCCGAGTTCGATCCCCAGTACAAAAAGAAAAAAGTTTTTTAAAAAGCAAAATACAAGATGACCTCCAGTTACTATAAAACTATGTATGAGTTACTTTTAAAATTCCCTAAAGATATTCCCTTCACAATTCGAAATTTATTTTGAATGCCTTCAACAGAATAAATTAAACATAACCATTATTTTTTTCATGGAAGTCAAATTATCTAACAAAGAAACAAGTAGATACTAAATTGTCATATAGTCATCAAAAACTGGACATTTTCACTCATAAAATTGGTATCATCTTTTATTAGGACTAGGAGTATTTTACCAATACTTCTCCAATTAGCCAGTCTATCAGAGGACACTTGTTTATTAAGTATCTACTGTCTTCCAAGGATGAGCTAGGTCCTCATATTTATGGACAAAATAGAGATTCTTCCCTTGCTCGGTTGTATAGTCTGACAAAAAAGACACTAAGCCCATGAGTATCCCAAGGTCTTGGTATAATCTTGTCCTTATTTGAAGACGAAAGGAAAGAAAACTGGCAGAAAGCAACTCGTAAAGTATTTTAAAGATAAATAATTGTTTTGACAATAGGAGGCCTATAAAACAAATCTCTATAGTGTTTAAAGATGCAGTTGCCCTAAATTTATATTAGAAGTTATATTCATTTTCCTCCCCCAAAGGGAACAAACCATAAAAGACTCTTCACAAATTCTTCCATCCCTCTGTATTGACAGCTGGCTAAAAATAAGGGAGATCCTCATTTCAAGTTAGCAAACATGTCCAGTTCATCCACAGTGGGCATAAATGTCTGGGAGCTATGGAAGGATGCTGTCTGCTCACTTGAGTGCAGTGTTCCATGGATTGCTTAAGGACGTGTGAGCACTTGGTACAACACAGCTGATTACATTTTCTCAAATATGTCCTAAGGCAGTCCTGCTCTACCAGGCCCTTACTTTTCAAACAATAAGTTAATTGTCGCTGTGCTGAAACACACACACAGCTTTCGCCTTGTGGATAGAGATTGTTATTCTAGATAGAAATTCACTATGCGGCATCATTAACCCTTTTCTACTTCCCTCGGCTACCAACTGTGGGCAAGAGCATTTTATCAGTGCTTGTCTGTACCGACCACCACGCGGGCAGCTTAGGATTCAGCCATCCGGGCTAGGACACAGCAGCTGGGGAAGCTGACAGGAGTGAGAGAGCAGGGGAAGGGACAGACATGACCACTGAGGCCCTGTGAATATCCCATTCTCTACGACTCTGCTTTGCACTCTGTGACGGCTGTAAGCCATGAACACGAGGAGCTAGCAGGAGTTTACTCGAAGCCATTCTCAGCATCAGAGCAACGCCATGGCTGAAGGGAGCTAAGCACTCGTTCACCCTCTTTCCCTCCTGCCCTTCAGTTTTAAAAAGGATCACACCCTTCAGAAAGAGGAACAACACTCACATGCAAAGAGATGTCCAGCATGTTTGGATCTGGTGATAATGTATTTGGATTCGTTCTCCAAAGACTTTGCCTCACATGGTGGAGTGTGTACGTGCACAAGCATGCAGGGATTTATTAAACATTCAAGATCGGTGATGACACCCAGTCAGCGTGCTCGTGAGTGGCACTTCACTCCTTTCTCATCTCTGGGTGCCCTGCACCGGGCACCTACAGTGCCTGGCTGGCCATTCATTCCTAACAAAGTCACACGGATCGAAATAAACTGGACTCAGTGCCAGTTCCGTCCCTAAACCACCGTGCAGCCTGTTAGGCCACTCCACAATTCCTATCTCAAGGGGCTGAGTCAAGAATGAAATGGCATTAGAGTGAGCCTAGATTGTGCACTTTATTTTTTTTTGGTACCAGGGATCAAACTCGGGTCCTTGCGCTTGCGCAGCAGGTGGCGAAACCACTGAGCTAAATCCCCGGCCCCAGATTGTGTACTTTAAAGCTCCACAAGTAAGCCTCCCCCAGCTAAGCTGACAGCTTTACATTTTTTTTTTGTGCCAGGGATCAAACTCAGGACCTTCCGCTACCTTTAAATTTTTTTAATTCATTCATATTTCCCTCTCCAACTCACTATTTTAGCAGTAGTTAGTAGATTTATGGGGTTGTTTTTAGTAGTTCTTTTTTTGCCATTACCATATTTCTATCTCACAAATTTCTAGTCAACCTGAATTCAAAGATTCAGGCTTAACTTAATGTTGTTAGGTTCATTATTTGCCGTGGCTCCTCCTTTTTTATATTTTGGCCTTCAGTGATAAATAAATACGGAATTTGCTACTTCTTTCAATGCATTTATAATCAATTATTTCCTAAATCATACATTTTCTCTTGTTCATTATTTTTCTCATATCTCTCTTTTTTAAAATAGGGAGGGCCAGGAGGCTCTTGCCTTCCCTCAACAGAGACCCTGCGGGACTGGCGCGCCTCGGCTTTATCCCCTCAGACGCAAGTACAAGCAGCTAGAGTTACACAGGATTCATCTGTCTCCCAGCCGCCAGTGTACTTTTCCGGGGACACAACGGAATCTCCGCTGTTTTTACTTTTTCCTGCGGCCTGTCAACATGCTGGCGCGCTGCTTTTCTTCTTAGGGCTCACCGAAGGGGCGGAGTAGGCCTCAGCCTTCCTCTCCGGTCTCCCACCGTATAGGAAAGATACATTTTTCGAGTGCTTCCATGTCTAAAGTGCCTTTTTGCTGCCTCACATTTCATTGTCAGAAAGAATCTTCTTTCCAAGTTTTGGAGACATTTCCCCCACTTTCAGTTTCCATTCACGCTCGTGCTCGTGGGAAATCTGACCTGCACCATGAGGTTCGGCCTGCTGTGTTGCTGCTTCTGCCTCCTTTTCCTTCTCGTTTCCTCTGGTTGTTTACATGGTATTGTCTCTTCTGTCTAGAATTTTTCAGTTTGTTTTTTCCAAATTGTCTTCCTTCTATTGAATTAGTAATATATTTTTAAAACATAGTTTAATTTTTAAGACTTCTTTCATTTCTGTGGTTTTCATAATTTCCTAGTCTTGGTTCATATATAGAATATCTCTTCTGACAGTGCTTGTGGATGTATATGTATTATTCCTTTGATTTCCTCCCTTGGTAAGATTTAAGACTTTTAGTTATTGTTGTTCAGTCTTTTTTTTTCTTTTGTTCATATTGACAACTTTTCTTGTATTTCGAGCTAGTCTCAGTAACTGATAGATCTCTGTGTTTGTGGCCAGTGCTTAACACGTGATAGATTCACTAGCACAGTCCCCCTGAGCAAATTATTTGTTACCTTGTTTCGGATAAAAAGTTTAGGTAAGTAATCAATAGTTGGTGGGTCAGCCTTCATAGATATGGACCATACTTCGTGAAGCACTGCACCAGGGAATGATTGGTAGGGAGTCCATCTTTTAAGCAGTAGCCTTTTCTCTGGGATTATTTTGTTTCTCTAAGGAAGAATTCTCTTGTCTTCTGGGGAAGGAAGCGGGTTGGGTAAGGGTCTGTGTTCTTGCTGCTTTTCCATCTTCTCCTTTGTACTTGACATAATTTCCTTTACTTCCCTGTGTCTCTCCTACTTCATTGTCTCCCATTAATTCCTCCAGATAAAAATTCTCTATTTCTTCTACCTGTGACGGAACAAATGTGGGAGATCATGTGTGTGGCAGAGAGGGTAAGGCAGAGACTGTTGTGCAGTTTCCAGCCGGTCCTTTTCAGGCCTGTGCTTGACTCCACTTTGTTAAAATCTTCACCTCCATATCTGAGGTTTTCAGTGGTCTGGGCCAGTTGAGATGCTTCCTGGTGATATCCCTCTTCAGTGGCTTCAGACTGCAGTGGCTTTTGTGCAGGTTGAGTCATATTACATCTGGTTTTCATCTTCCAGAGACACGTGGAAGACACTTACCTGTTGCCATCTGCATACTGTCCTTTTGTGCTTAGACTCCTTTGTGGATTATATGGTGAAATTTACTTTTTCCTTTTCACAGCAAAACTGTTACATTGGTTGTTTTTATTTTGCCGTCTTCAACTTCAGTAGGACCTTTGCCCCACATCTGCACTGTTCTCTGTTCACCATCACTGGTGTCTGAAAGGTTTCAGGGAAGCATTAGAGGTCAGCTGACATGGCTCTTATACTTACCAACTGCACCCTTCACTTGATCTTTTTGCTCCATCTGATAGGAATTTTATTTCCCTGGCTATTTTTAGTATCTGGCTGGAACTCCTGATTTTCGGAACCATAGAAAATGTTGGGAGTCTGGAGATTATGTTCAGTGCTCTCTTCTCTCACCTCTTTTTCTTGTTTATGTATTTTTTCCTTTTTGACTCTCTTGCCAGTAATATCAATAGCATCTTTATTTTTTCATATTTTTATTACATACTTTGAGAAAGTTCTTCAACTTTATCTTCCAACCTACTAACCTGGGGCTTAAAGTGTTTCTTCTAATGTCCTTAAAGTTTTCAAATGAAAACTATTTTCAGTTCTGTAATCAAACTGTAGTGCCCTGGGTTTTGTTTCCCGTTGCCGCCTGTCTTGCGTTCTGTGAGGACTGTCGCTCTTCCTGTCCCTCGGGCTTGGTTTGCTTAAGTGGCCTGTGACTTCTCCTTGTGTTACTTGCTGCCTTCTGTTAACATTTTTTACCAAGTTGCACTTCCGGGGGACATTGGAAGTCCTTGTGGAAAAGACCTGCAACACCCTAGCTGGGAGTCAGCAAGCCCTTGTCAGGATGGCAAGGGCCTTCTGCCCTTGCCTTGCCATGGCAGTTGACACCTTCCTTAAGCACGAAGGACTCCGCCGGCCTCTTGAGCCAGGCACGAGGATGCATTCACGCTTGGCCTCACAGGTCTTGCCTTCACCTCCAAGGTTACCGGGTCTCATGCATACAGGATGCTCTGTGGTTCCTACAAAGGGCCCCTAATCCTTGACCCTAGATGCAATTTGGATGTAAAGACAAAAGGTGCCAGTTTTACAAATGTAATGTAAAACAATTATTTAGCAAGCAGAATTCATGACTTCAAATCAGTGTTAAGTTGAAGACTCAAGGAAGTGGAAATTCAAGTCCTTTACTTAGTCTTATTTATTTCTCAATTAGTCATGGACCCCATGTATTGCCTAATATTAAATGCTTGCTAATATTTGTTTAACAAAAGTGAAGACAACTTGTTCAATGACTTCAGGTTGGAGTCCTCACTTTTGTTTACAAACCCTGAAGACTTGGTCTCTATCCTTACGTTTCCAAAGCACCACTTTTTCCTCTGTTCCCGTTCTCCAGTCACTCCCACATTATCTCAGTGTATTGAATGTGCCTGTTCCAGCCTCCCTCCAGACTGAGCATGTGCTAACTGTGTTGCCTGAAACCTTTATTGCTACAAACTCCCCTCCTCGCTCAAGAGCGCTGCCAGCCCAGCTGCTCCTCCTGCCTGTCCCAGGCACGCTCCTTCCTAGCTGTTCTGTATCTTGGGTAAACGCCACACCTTCATCTTATGTTCCCATGAGCCACAGGATCCCACACTTCTCCTTGGCAACATTCGTAAATATTATAGGTTGTTTGGGATGTGTCTGCTTCAGACTGTGTTACAGGGGCACAATCATATCTCACTTTAAAGCTTCGGAGGCTGAGGCTCACGGCACACTAGGCCCCCATAGGTGCTGGTAAAATGGTGGAGGAAAGAAGAAGAGGGAGAACAAAGAAAAGAAAGGTATAATGTTTGCTCTCGAAGGAACTAAAAATAGATCTATTCGAATTTATTTATTTATTTAAAAATTTAAAATTTCATGATGAGGTCGTTAAGCCTATAGATATTTAGGCTGTGTGGCTGCTATTTTAGCTGTGGGCAAGTCGCACCATTTTGTGATTTTCATTGCCTTCACTGGTAAAATGAGGAAAATAACAGTATTTATACTTACTTATTACTTTATACTTACTTATTACTTTATACATTCATACTTATTACTTTATACCTTTTAGTATATACGTTTTCAGCATGAAAACGTAAACACTTACCTTAGTACTAAGTATCTGCTCCCAGCATATCAGCTGTCATGATTAATAATTTACCTGAGAATCAAAAAGAAAATAAGGACGGCCTTTCTTCAACTGAAGTGCAAAATACTCCTCCTGATTGCCGGGAGACGCTGCAAAGAAGATCAAGCCTTCAGACACCCTCGTTCGAAAGCTGGCTTTAATGCCTGGTGAGACAAGAACAATCAGCAAATCAGTGCGAGTTTTTGTTGATTCTTTCTGATAAATGCGCATTTACTTCCATTATTATTTATGATGTAGAGAGTACAGTCAGGAAATTATACACAGCAGCATCCTGGGGTGTCCCAGCCATGTGGTGGTTTTCAGTGCAGCCCATTTTTAATGCCATGCAGGACTTGCAAATTTAAGTGCCCTTCTGCTAACCAATATATAGTGAAGTTTAAATGTGTGCAAAACTTACCAACCTAAAAAGACACATGGTCAACCCCAAACTGGATACTCAGAGTTTCAGTGTGAAAATATCATCAGCAAGTCATGAGGATGAATCGGTTTTTTTTTTTTTGGTACCAGAGATTGAACTCGGGTCCTTGTGCTTGCGCAGCAGGCGGTGAAACTACTGAGCTAAATCCCCAGCCCCAATGAATGGGTTTTTGACACAAGTGAAAACAATGGGGACCTTGTTTTAAATACTTATGAAGTTCAAACTCTCAGAACTGTAAATGAAGATAAAAACTAGAAAGACTTGCCATGCATGGGCCATAGAGCTCACTTCCTGCAAGAGCGCTCAAAAACTTGGCAGCCTTCCGAATTTCAGGGCCTTCCCTGGCCCCACATCCACATCACCAGCACCACACTGGACTCACAGTGCTCTTGTCTCATCCGAATTCCCAGGCAGAAGCTGGAGCCCCTTGCAATGGTCCCACAAATGGCCCCACCTCCCGTCACTGCGTATCCCGGCACACACCGCAGAGCTCTCCTGATGTGTAAGGCATTTCACCTACGGCACTAAAACCAGCCAAGAAGCCTAAGTGGCACAATGTCCGGTCTCCAGGAGGTTCCAGTTTCATTGGAGATAGGAAATGATACAGATAATCATACTGGGAGAATCAGTTAAGAGTTCAAGATCACACATGAATTCAATAACAGCTCAAGAACACAATGTTCAGTGATGAATGAATTCTGATCCGAGTATTGATGCAGTCATCCAGGATGAAGGGAGAGAGCTCTTCTCAGCTGGGCTGCTGACCAAAGGGCCCACATGAGGGACTGCGCATGGGTTTAACAGACTGGGAATCCCTCGGGAGCTGAGTGGGCCTGCTCTCTGCACCAAGCACATAACACGGTACTCAGGTGCACACACATAGTCAATATTCTAGACTTCAGAGCAAGGGAATGAGGGAAGAGGTGCACTCGAGGTAAGGGAGAAGTTTCAGCAGGTGTCTGGAGGCAGGAATGCAGAATAACTTTGTGAGAGAACACTGGAGTGTTAGTTTTTCAATAGACCTCTTAACACTGGCTAAGTACTTTGCTACACAGTAAAGGAGAACATGAACCAGCCCTTGCCAGGCATTGAGCTCTGGTTTAGATAGAAGACAAGAGTTAAAAAGCAAACTGTAGTGAGATGTGGTAAGTGATAGAGAGTGAGAGAGATACAAGATATAAATTGGTTCAAAGCGATTAGGGACAGTTGAAGGAGAACACGACAAGCTTAAGATGCAGGCTTCACTCTACAAAGATGCAGCTCCCATTTGTGCTGGCCCTCTTGGTTTCGTGTCTCCAACTTCTAGGTTTTAAAGCTTCTGGTTTCCCAATGTGCTTGTCTTCATCATTTTGCTACATCATTTTCACACACTCTCCGATGCTCATCCATGCCCGCCAGCTGGGGGTTATGCACTTGCTGACTTAATGCTGGTCCTTTTTGGTACCTCTTTCATGCCACAGAAGAAGCCTGTTTGCCCCACCAATTACTTTGCGTAGTCAAACTCACCTGAATTCCTCCTGCTAGCTTTCCTGCTGTCATCTCCCCTAATAAGTAAACTAAAAGGGCTGAGCCATCAGTGTAAGTTTTACCCTAATGGTAACAGGAAGATGTAAAAAATTTGGTGGAGGGCAGAAACAGGATGCTTAGAGTCGGGATCAAGGCCACCAAACAAATGGTGGGGTCCATGGAGGATACTGGTGGAATATACAAAGAATGCAGATCACTTTGCTATAGAAGTGAGGAGATCACAGTGATCTGGGAATATGATGATATGGATTTTGATTAAAGGTGAACAAATAACTAAATAGACTAAAATGATAGAGTCTGAATTTCAGAAGAGACTCATTAGGACCTATGGAGCAATGGCGTGGGGAGGACTTTTCAGCAGTTATTGCAAGGAAGGCAGCATCACTAACAGAAGCGGAAAGGTCAGTAAGGGAGGAGCCCCTGGGGTAAGGTTCTAAGATCAGTGTTATGAACATGAAATTTTCACTAACGGTGTGGAACATTATCACTGGGAAGTGCGAAATTAAATCTCAGAAGAGAAGGAGGGACTAGATACACTGACAGTCACACGCCAAGAATCCACGTCTCAGAGAAACAATACAGAGAAAGAAAAACAACCTTGTGGGGAAATGTCCAAATTGAAGAGAAGGAAATAGAAAGAGAAAGGTTAAAACAATAAAGACAATATTGTAAAATGGAAGCCTACATAGGAGAGAACATTAAGAAGTCAAGCTTAGCTCATGGTGTAAAGACTTCCTAGATGGCCAACAAACAAATCTTTTTTGAGACCAGTTTTTTATTTTATACTTAGTATCATATACTGTTGACATAGTTATTGTTCAGGACACAAAGACAGCCGAGCTCTGCGCGTGTGTAGAGAGGCAGCTCTGTGGCAGTTCAGGGGAGAGAAGAAGCCAAAATCTGAGGCAGAGAAAGCAACAACAATTGCTCAATCTGAGAACACCATCATTCCTGTTTAACCCAAGGGAAATCTGGTGAATGAAAATGAATCAGAGCCGCCGGGGATTTAGCTCAGTGGTTCCGCAGCCTGGCTCCCAAGTGCAAGGTCCTGAGTTCGATCCCTAGTACCAAAAAAGAAAAAGCCAAAATGAATCAGAGTAAGAACTGCAGGAATATTCAGCCAAGGCACACTTGAAAATAAGGATTATACGCCATTCAAGGCATAGCCGAGTGCATGTTTTCCAGAAACACAGCATTTAATGTCCAAGTTCTACAAAATGAGCTTTTAGCATAATTAACGTACAAAACTACACAGATCAATGAAAATTCCTGTGAGAAGGGAAGACTTAGTGTAAAAAATGGCAATTTGATTTGATATTGCCAGGTAGAGTTTCCTCAGCTTTTTCAAATCATTCAACCTTGCCACTTTTCTCTTTATACTAACAAGTAACAAATGGCTTTCTTTGACATGAATTGTGTGAGGAAATTAAAATGCACATGTCTATTGAAACAACACATTCCTGATGATTAGTTAATTATTGTTATAGACACAGATAAATCCTATCTTTTGAGCCACATACTTAAATCATGTAGTCAATTTTTTAAACGAACTAAAATTACAAATAAATGTCTTTAAATACACACACAATAATCTTTTCATAAATGCCTAAAATACTTTAAGAAAAACTTTATTAAATTTATCATGGAGCAGAACAATACAATGCATAATTGTTTGATATGACTAATATTCTCCTTTTTTCCAAAAAAGACACTATGTTTATAGATCCCTGTGCACATACTCCGGCTCAGTCACATGACTTGGTCAGGGGAATGACAGCAATCACATGTGAGGGGCAGGACAGCAGGTGCCTGGCGTGGAGCTCTGGTTTTCCCTCAGCTCCCCTGACTTCCGCCCTGTCTGAAGAACGGGTCCAAGGATGACAAGACCTGTGGACCTGGGCCATGCAGTGCCAAAATGTTTCGCATCTCCAAATGGTTATGTTAAGCAGCAACACTGACTACAATAGGCAGAAGAGTGAACAATACACCTTTCTCATTTGTTAAATTTAGACTTTGCTTTTTAAAAATAGTAAGAAAGAGGAAATGTTCAAAAGTTCAATTTTTTGTTCCCAGGGTTTAGAAAAACAACAGAGCATTTCTTCTACCACTATATTTATTCATTCATTCAAGACATAGTTAAGGAGCCATAGTTTCTGCAGCCACTATTCTAGACTAATGGGACACACAGATGAATAAAACAGACACACAGACATGGCCTAGTAGCCCAGAAATATGAAAATCCAAGTTCTTCATGGAAATATTTAACTTTCATGAAGTGTGCTTGGAACTTTAAAAATTTATTCATAAACATAAACACTTAAAGGTCCTGGAATAGGCAAAGAGTTCTTAATAAAGGAAAAGCTATTACACAAAAGGAAAACAGGAAAAGTCAGACTGCATTAAAATTAACAAAGGCATGAAGAGCAGAACAGAAAGACAATCGGGTGGGAGAAGATATCTGCAGTAGGTATTTCTGATAACAAGATCTATCCACAGAATTAACACATAAAACAGCACTTAACATCATTAGTCATCGGAGAAATGAAAAGTAATACCACTAAACAGCCTCCAGCATGACCAAAACTAAAGAGAAAATACAAAATATAATCAAACATATACACACTTCTATATAATGTGTAACTAATGTTAAATGATAATACAATATTAAATTTATAGCTGATAAAATTTATAAAAGATTATATATATACATACTCTTCATAAACAACTATTTAGCCTATTAATTATGACACACATTTTGAGCAACTATGGGTTTTTTTAGTTATCTATATATCTCCTACACATATGCACACCTTTTGATGCAAGCATTTTATTGTCAGGTATATATCCCAACACACATAGGTTCAAAATATACACAAATATGTTTATAGCAATGCTTTTTGTCATACTGTTAAGCCAGAACACACATGCCCATGGATGTAGGAAGGAGAGATATAGCAGAGAATGAACACACTGCACTAGATCCATACTCAACTACCTGCATGAATCTCATAAACAGGATATTGGGCAAAAAGTCATAGGCACAAGGGAATATGCACCATATCATCCTATTTATATCAAAACCAAGCTAAATGCACAAGTGTGCTGTGGGGAGGCAGGTTGAGGGTTCCCGGCTGGGGTCTTCACAGGATGCCAGGCAGGGACTATGGAGCCCCAGTGGCATTCTGCTGGGGAATTTGG